AAAGGGGGGAGGAGGCGGCTACAGTAGTCAGCTGTTAGAGGAGCAGGGAGGAGCTGCTTCTGCTGCGGATGACTCACTATCAAGGTTCACTCATTCACTCGTTTGCACACACGTGCACGCGCACGGACAGACTGGCACGTTTGGTTTGGTGGGTGGGTTTGGGGGAGGGAGGAGGAGGAGATAGAGGAAGGAGGAGGAGGGCGCTGCAGAGCTCCTGCTCCTGCTGCTGAGTGAGGTTCCCAATCAAAGCGCATCAGGGCCGCTCAGTCTCCACTGGAGGGCGAGTGGCACAAGAGCACCGGGACACTCCAGCAGCAGCAGGGACACAGAGCAGACAGACGGACAGGAGGAGGGAGACGGGACAGACTCAGCTGCAGCAGCTGGAAGGCAGGGACACGTTAAGGTCCAGACTCTGGACTCTGCAAAGCATCATTTTTACTGCCATCCGCCGGATTTACTCCTTCATCCAGCTGTAACATCACGTAAGGAACACACACACACACACACACGCGTATTGTACTAGTAGCGGATGCTGTGGCGACAGGACCATGCATCTGAACTCCATCACGCTATAGCTCACTAAAGCCCTCCTCACTGTTAGTCTTAGTCTCTCTTTGTGCATGCATACTTGTCAGAACTCCTCACTCATTCCCATTCATTGCAACATCCAAACCCGACCTTTATTGTTTTTGCATTACCTTTAACACTTTAACACTACCTCTCTAACCCTGTCCCAGCCTTTAGGCACAGATTCAGGTGAGGAAACGCTGCACATAATCACCGTTAAATTACTCCTGGTCCCGAGAAGGTCAGCGTTTATCCCAGTAATCGGTCCTCAAAACGTCATGAAAACACTCGGACACACTCTCATAGTGTAGCCTGAGCTACAGTGCTAGCTAACCAGACGCAATAAAAGGACCTTTAGAAACCTGATCGCCGTTTTGTTGTTGTGCACTTTCGCTGCCACCTCCTGCACGCAGATACAGCATTGCACGGAGACGGAGTGTCTTGTAAACTTGATGCAATGTTTGTTTGTTTCTCTTTAACAATTGCAGCGGCTGATTGGCTAGTGTGTGGAGCTAACTCTAGCGGGATAGTGCAGCAGGCAGCAGCCAATGTGATGACAGACAGTGGCCAAAAGAGTCAGTGGACGAACCGACACACAACGGCTGCTTTTTATCCTCACATCTGTGCAGATGATTTGTGGCACTGCAGCATTTACAACATTGATATAAAAACATCTTAAATTTCACAGTAACACAAATATGTCGTGCAGAACCCGTGCATCATAGACTGCCATAGTATACATACCCATCCAGACTCTGCAAGGTGTCATTGATTCTGTGCCAAAGGTAACACACAGATAGATAAATATATATATATATTTATTTAATAATAATATTTACTTATGTCATTATATAATCCCATTCATATGCATGAATTATTTTCATGTCATATTTCAGCATTGTTCACCTTCCACTTATGTACAAGAGTTGCCTCTTCACAATGTAGTCGTCACTGACAGCAATAAGGCAAATTGATTGTCAAAATGAAAACGATGAAATCAATATCTTTTGTTATTGCTGCACTAATTCTCTTTTTGCATGCCCCAAAACTGCTAATTTGTACTTTATTACATTAATGAAATTATAGGGTTTTTTTGTTTGTTTTTTGTTGTATTTTTTTGTGATTCTCAGGATAGGTTTTGGGTGAGTGCGACGTAAAGCACAACTTGTTCACCGTAATGTTCAGGACATTTTTTATTCATGTGCATCTTTGCATTTGTTTTGACACAGAATCAGACAGCTGGTCTCTCATAACCTGTTTTACCAAATACACAGAGAGGGAGAGTGTGAGGGTGATATTTGTTCAAGAATAACCCTGTAAGCTTATTTACTCTTCAAATACCTCATGATGTATTCTGTGCAAGGTTTCACCTGGGTGAACCGGATGCTGCTAATGCATGTTACAACCGGATACTCCTTCCTAGTATCTGACACATTTATTTTATGCCTCTCTCCTTTATTTCCTTATTTAAAAGTCAAGAAACAAGGTATTTATATACAGTTAATTTCCACTGTTCACTTAAAATCAAACTGGATTTTAAGTTGTTTTTGTTTTTCATTGGTATCAGAAAGTCTGTGCAAGGTATAAGGTATACGGGAAGCATCACTCTTATGTGTGATGCGTCACAACCCCCCCGACCCCCCACTTGTAAAAGTATTCGTCCAAAATCTCTTGAGTCAACAGGTTCATTCGCTGTGGATCACAGGGTGTGTCATCTGTTGCTGTACTAATACAGATGCTTGTCTCACTTTGTCTTTTCGCGCAGGAAAGGTCGTCACCATTATGTAAAGAAAATCTAATTTTGCCCAAGCTTATTGACATGGGCACATAAACATTTCACAGGGAGTTAGAGCAGTAAACACGACCCTCCCTAACACAATAACAGTCCCTCACCTGTGGTCTGAACCAGACTGTGGAGCCTTTTAGTAAATAATAAGAGGCTTAAAGGTTAACTTGAAAGAAGCACTTGTTTTTTGTAGTTTCTTTTCAGATGAGCTAGCTTTATAAATATAGTCTTCCTACTGGTAGTAAATGTGATAAAAACGACTGGGTATTTTCAGTAGGTGCTGTGGAGCACGAAGCTTTAAAGTCTTATGTTTAATTGATGGTGTGTTGACAGCGTAATGAGAGCTCTGCTGATTTTTGGCAGTGACCATCACCAGTAATTATTTACTTTATAATTTGACAAACAAATTTGTGGCTTTATTTTATTTTATTTATTTTTTTGCATTCTACGCTGTAATGCGTTATTAATTTCCTTTTTAGTGACACTTTTCATTTTGTGTTCTTTAGATTTATATTTTCTGTCTCTGACAGCTTCACTCAAAATAATGAATATATTTCTTTTTAATATCCAGTTTGTATTTCTATGATTAAAGACAAACGATGCGTAAGGCATTTGACTATTTATGTGGCAGGATAAACTTTTTTTTAATCAACAAATAATATATATTTGGCTAATAATTTGTCTTAGGCAACATTACCACCAGGTCACATTGGATTTTATTACCACATAGTGAAATTTTACTTACATTTTATTTGCTTTTCTTGCTGTATTAAAATGCTGAATTATGTGTGTATTTATTGATCACCTTTGTCTATTCTCTTCTTTTCGTCAAACACTTTTGTCAGTGTCATTTGACACCATTAGCTCTGCAATCTCTCTTTATTTCGCCCCCTCAAAGAAGCCTTGACAAAGCTGTCATAATGGATGGATAATAGATAATAGACAGACAGATGGATGCATTGGTCAGCAGGCAGGGGGACTGTCTTCCTGGCTGACAGCCATTCATGTATTTGTAGCATGTAAAAAAAACATGTTTAACATTATGTTTACTGCCATAGTTGATACGTGTAAATTAAGGTCATGTTCTTCTGCCTGTACCATGAGTTTTGAATGTCCTTTTTCTGGCTTTGCAGGCCAAGACATGAGCTTCTCTCACTGAACGATATTGATGCTGAACTGGTAAGTCTTCAACCACAGATCACTGCCGCAATTCTCATTTCCTTTTTTCCGCATTTCTTTTTTTTTGTGTCATCCAGTCCCTGTCCTCTCTGACATAATTGTCACCCAGCAAATGTCTGCTACAGCGAAAGGGCTTTCTTCCCTGAATGTAATTTATAACTTAGGCTACCTCTTCAGTATTAGTTTCCAGAGCATCCTGTTCATGATTGCATATTAATAACCCAATCTGCATTAAGTGAATTGAAAAAAAAAAAGTGTGCGCATAATGTGTGTGTGTGAAACATATGGCCTCATCCTGCCCATATGCCGACCTGATAAGTTATGTAAGCGTAATATTTTAGCCTTGTTGATCCTCCTGAAAATGATGAAAAAGAACCAGAGGGCAAACAAAAAAATACAACAAATTAGAAGGGAAAGAAGGAATGAAAATCTGTCGTTTTTATTTTACCATTTTCTTTATAACATTTTATCCCTAAAGAATGTTTAGTTTATGGATACTACTGCTGACATCTGCCTTGTACCTCAGCACATAACTACCATAGTAGACATAACAGTAAGAAATGCCCTTGTTATCTGTACCTTAGAAACAATGCCATAGTAAAATGGTCATGCAAACTTCAGTCACCGATTGGCCAGTTGTGTGGCTGCTGCTGTGTGCTCTATCATGTCATGCTTGGAATCGTATTGTAGCGCTCCACATTATGCTCTGTATTAATGATGTCATCTGTATTAATGATACAGGCTCCAGCCTGAAAACTGTTTGTTGACTAGACCACATTAACATGTGCTTCAAGTTTACCACGATAATATTCTGGATATAATGTGTGTTAGAACCTGTTCAGGACACAAGGTATGATGGTATTGTTGCAAGAAAAGGAATTATACAGTGGACACTTGTTTAGAGTGTTTCATTAGTTTACTATGATAGTCTTTTAAGATTTTAAAAGATTTTACAGAAAACTTTTAACCTCAATTTGTCATTCTTAGTGGCTGTCATTTTTAGAGTTATGCAGTGTAAACAGTGATATATATCAGTAACATGTATTAGTTACAGGTAAATACACAATTCACAGGCTAATTCAATTCGAGGTCAATATTTTTGTATGATTTGATCAGATCCGAGCTGTCAAATCCACCTTGAACTTGATTTATTTTTAAGCAAATCCATCTTTATCCCTTGTTCCACGTATCGTCACTACTCATTCATCAACTACTGCTTTAATCCCCTGCAGGTTCATGGGGTTGACACTGCACTGAAACAATGGAGTTTACACTTTTTAACAACCTTTGTAATACTAGAGTTCAGAAGAAATAAAAAGTTTTTTTAAATTTGAACCTCAGTTAAACAATTTAACTTCAGTAGATCAGTGGATTTTAGTCTTTACAATTTATCAAATCGTTAGTTTTAAATACTATACTATATACTATTATTTTAAGAATACACATCCCATGAATATCTGGGTCCAGTTACTTTATGCTGAGGCAGATACTGTATATTCAGAAGCAAATAATAACTTAGTCACACAGTTGTATTTACAGTATTTTTACATGCTTACATGTCCACTCAGTGTTGCATCATCAGTCTCGGCCTCGGAGGCTGCAGGCTTTCCAAACCTGGCTCAACCCTGTCTGTTCTTCATGTTAATATGTGAGGCCGCTCACTGTTTGCTGCTTAAAGAAAGTGGGAGAGCAGTGATGAGACAGTTTATCATCACTGCAGAGATAAGGACGTCTGAAGGAAGGGTGTAACGACAGGGGGATTCTCTACAGACTCCTAGCCAACAACAAAGAAAGATGGACAGACAGAGAGAGGAAGCTGCTTTCTCTCATACCAACAGATGGGAGCCGTAGCCACCAGGTCAATATTTACTCATTCTTTGTGGGAAAAGTTGGCAGCGTTACTTAAGCCGCTTCAGTAGCGAGCTGTGAGATCAGCCTGATCTGTGTGAAAAAGTCAGTGATGTACAGAAGCAACACTCGAGCCACGATCATTTTCCCTCATTTGTACTGCGTGTGTTCGTCCCTCCTCACTTTACCCATGGCTCTATTCACTGTGGGGATACATGTGAACGCAATTTGCACTTTCAATTAAACTGTCGACCTTCGCTCTAGAACGCAAGATTTGATTTCGTACCATCCTCTCCTGGATAGCTATTATTACACAGCCAGCCCAGTAAAAGAGAGTCTAGGATTTTTCACTATACTGACGTAGATCATTGATGTCAGCAAAAATAATTTTCGCTCCCACAGTCAATATTCATTTTGATTGGACTGGGCACAATGACAATTGTCATTTATTTCCTTCATGCTGCTAGTTAAAATCCCTAATCGCATAAAGACATTTATCACAGTCATATAAACCAGTGGTTCTCAAACACTTTTCCCAGGAACACTAGTGTTCAGATTTCACTAAATTGGCATGGAAACTATTTATTTACTGCAAATAATGTTTTTGTTTATGTGACAGGCACATTATATACCCTTCCTCTAGAAGTCAGTAACATGGCTGTAAAAAGTTTTTGTTTGGTGGGATATTTCTAATATAAAATTTGTGTCATGGTGCAAAAAATATATAAACGATGTGACTCATTTTTAGTCAACTAATGTGAAAAAGAAAAAAGTATGTGTGTCTGATTCAGAGTGTAGCTTGTTCACTTTGAGATTAAATGAAGACGATGGTACAGAAATACATACATATGGCCAGGGTTCAGGGTTTGCCTGCAGCGTGCTGATGAGCCTCTAACGTGGCTGCAACACATGACTTGGTGGTCAGGTCAGATGACTAGATAAACAGCAAGAATGCCGGGTCTTCTGTATTCTACAGCACCGCTGTTGTCTAGCAGAGATAGGAGGTGCTTTTGTGTGTGTGTGTGTGTGTAGAGTGTGTGCACCAGAACATTATATTTAATCATCTCACTACTGGAGGAGAGGAAAAGAAAAAAAACGAGGAGTACAGATAGTCAAGGATTATAGAGTTGAGATGCTATAGATAAGTAAAGTGTTATCATTAACTAAGATACATATTCATAAAGGTCTGTTCCCTTTTTTAATTTATTTTATGCTCTGAGATATTTAATGTATGCTTCGACTATTGGATCTTAATGGCATTTTCTCTCGGCAATCCTCCTGAGTTTCTGCTCGTAAAATAAATACTGCTCTATGTGCTACAGGCCATAAAGAAGCAAACAAAATTCAGACCCAGTATAAACACACACGAGTTCTCTCAGATAGATTTTCAGTGAGTGCCAGATATTTGTCAAAGGCCCCTAGCGATTTCTCATCAACCACTTCTTGCATGTCATTTAAACAAACCTCGTGGCTTAGCGCATAAATCCACCAGATGGTTATCATAACAAACTGTGGAAGTATGCAAAGTTTAGAAGTGTGTCTCAGTCTAGGCACATCACGAGAGTGTGCCCTAATCTCTTTTTGGACAATCGTGGGAGAAAACCATTTGTTAAATGACTACATCATATCAGAAGATCAGGGAGATGGCTGTTCTCTAATGATCAAGCCTCAGGAGAAACGTTTTTATGAAAGCACTGTACACGACTTCACAAGTCGATGACAGGATAGCTCAAAATAACAACAAAGTTTTACAGAGGTATGATCTAAATTTTAAAAATGTGATTACGTACATTGCAGTTTAAATGTAAGTCGGAGGCTGCATACATTTTTTGTGGAAAATGAGTCATTTAGTGAACAGGAAGTGTCTTGCGGTATAGTTGTTGCTGTAATCACCATGATCATGACAGCAGCTCTGACTAAAGTACTTCATAAAATTGTATTTGTTTTTTTTTTGTCACTACTCCTGCTCTCGAAAACTTAAACTGGTTAATGTTCGTAGGCAGGAATGGTTTGGTTACATCAGCAGCGACTACATTATCAGACTTCAAATTCAGCTCAGTAAATCAGTGGTTTATAAGTGGTTCTCTCTGAGACCCCAGCAGCATCTCTGAATTTCTTTCTTTGAGATTAACTGGTGGATTACCTTTAGAATTTAATGTTGTTTAACTGTGAACACAGTACAGCTAATTACAATCAGGGACCTTGATTGGACAACTTACACCCCTACTGGTGTGTTGTTGGATTAGTTCGGTTTTTCACTCTTTTCAGTGTTTGTGTGCGTGTCAGTGGTTAAACTGGAGCTTGGGAATGACACAGTTAATGTGCATTATATGTACAACCACAAAGAAACTACAGCATGTCAACCGTGTTTCCCGAACATTGAACAACCCGAGGGAACCGATAGCAAACAAACGCCTGCTGTACTAAATTGAGTAAGTTACCTTGTGATACTTCAAAGGTTGGTCGTATTCCAGACAACACAGCTCAGGTCCACTTGTGGTTCAACTTGCAGCGGCCCAGCCAAAACATAATCAAACGAACAAACACAGCACAAATGTGTCGTTTATTATTGTGAACCCATAAATGTGTCAGTAGTACAACTGTAGTTACAGGCAGTAAACCACACTGCCATTCAGTTGTATATGTACAATTCTGTCGTTGACACCTTTCTAATAAATAAACTAATAATATATTATGAAAGATCTGCATTTAAAACATCTTAATCAGAGCTGCTCCACCAAAATTTTAGTGTCTGTTTGTCACACTACTTGTTCGACACAATAGGACCAGAGGACAGCCAAAAATACTTTGTCCCACTTTTGTCCCCGTTTTCTGCGGTCGGTAACAAATAATTAAAACCAACTAGCCATCTCCTGCCGTAAGACTTAGTCATTTTTAAATGGCTGGAGAAATGGTGCCTTAGATCCTACAGTATGTGCCCTGAAATGTGTTGTATTTTATGAATTGTTTTTTTCCCACACAGTGTGACAATATTGTAGTATAGATAAAACAAGGAAAATATACTCTGTTCTAAACATAGCTACTTCTCTTGTCACGCCGTTTTTTAAAAATTCTTTTATCCAAGACGAAAGCTAAAATTTGCTCTGCCTTCCCTCTGTGACTCAGGAAATAGAACATAGACCTAGTCTTCCTCTCACCTTCTCCCTCCGTCGAGATTTTACACTTTAGTTTTCTCTGCTTGTCTTATTTTGGCCTTCAGGGAGCTGACTGCTGACAGCATCATAGTAGAAAAAAAAATCTGAGAAGTCAAAGAAGGTGAAAAATGTTCTGAGCGTGTGCATCACTTTATTCCTCTGCTTTTCTCAGATTTTCCAAACATTCCTGCCATCTCAAATTTCGCTAAAAAAGAGACACTAATTCAGTGCTGTTCTACTGACAGAACCCATGAGACCCATAGAGCTTTTTCATTTCCTTAATATTTAGGTAAACTCACTCGCAGTCCATGAAGAGACAGGGTAGAAATAATTGGACTGGATCAGTTCCAAAACCCATGGTCAGCCACCCTGTGTAGATCAGATGAGTGAAGAGACAGAATTACAGCAGAGAATTTGGTTTATGTCTGGTGGAGGAAAGGAGACAGAGACAGAGGCATAAAGTGGTGACCGTGAGCTGTGGTGACCGTTAGCTGTGAAGCTGAAAGAAGAGATGAGTAAAAAAGAAAATGAAGTTGACAATAGTCATTCTCATCATTAAGATTAACAGCTGCGTTCAGTTCTGGTTTGGAGGGTTTGGACTTAAATTTTATTTAATAAAAGATAAGAACGAGACTGATGCCCTCTGAATGTCTTTGACCGATAAAGTCTTGTCCTGGAATTAATATGTGCAGTGACCAAAACTCTTCTGAGTACTTAGTGCTTCAGTACTTCCATTTCCATTGGGGTGACCCCGTTATCAAGAGTGAGAAATCAGTGTAAGAGCCTGTCAACACTATGGGACGCAGCTGCTTGAAAATCAGACGACAGGAGGGTTTTTTTTTTTTTTTTTTTCAACTCTATAGTTAGATACCCCCGTGATACTAAATGGCAGAAAACCACTCCAAAAAAAGAACACTATCTGACATCAGTTATCTGTAGTGATTTTGTAGTGACTAATCTGCCGTATTTGTCAGTAATTGTACGTTTGTTTTACGGCAACATTTTGTCTGCAGCAATCAATCTATTATGAACCAACAGCTTTATATTCTGTTTAAAAAAACACTGCATTGTTTGAGAAAAGTGTTTAATTAGATGAAATATTTGGTTTCACCTTTCCAGAATGTCAATATTTAGTTGTTTCTTTATGGCCACAAGAAAAGTCAGGGACGTTGTTGTTATTTCGAGAAAACAAAAACCCAGAGTGTGGGAATGTGCATCAAGGTTTTTGCATGTATTAGAGTTATATTTAGCGGAAGCTATTTCAGATAGCGTGGATAATGTCACTTCCCCAGCCATAACCGTCTCACCTGTGGGAGTGTTTGTGTGCTTGGCTACATTAACGGCATTGTCCTTTTAATCAGCACCCCTGTGTGTTTCCCCTGTAGAGCTGTCACGGGCTGAGAGATGATGGTAGACCTGCTATTTAAATCCTCATGTTGGTACCAGGCTCATACCTGATGCCCTAATCTGAGGAATCCTTAACGCACCACTGGATGGTGCTTTATATAGTAAATATTAATTGAAAATGGCAGAAGAACGTATAAAAAATGTCTGATATTTTCCATTCTCACTTGACTTGAAGTAGCAATAGTGCTAGTTGAGTTTCCGTAGTAGACTCTGTTTGTTGTTGAATTGATTTTATATTAGTCCTATTGACATCAAAAGGGTTGCATTGCCTTTTTACAACATACTCAACACATGAGCACAGATAAATGAATGGTAAATACACCCTTTTCGCACCTGAGGTTTCTCTCGTTCTGACCGTCTATCTGGGCCTTATCATGTTCTAACCCATTTGCCCTGCACATTGTGAGTACTGATCACTCTGTGTACGCGTGACCTTCATATTTTGGCACAGAGCCTTCCCACTGATCCGTTTTCCTGGCTGAAGTGGCCTGTGAACAGCTCTCGTCCAGCGAGGCCACTTGACATGCATACTATTTGATCCATATAAGCTGCCACTGTGGGCGTGACCCATACAGATGAAGAGCAGAGAGGTGAGAGAGAGAGACAGAGCTGGGATATTTATCCCCAGAGTGGCTGAATACCTGAGAACAGACTTGTTACAGCCAAACAGAGGTGACCACGCCATGACCGATGGCAGGAAAGTTGTTCCCAGAGTCACGGTGTGAATGTGGCCTTGTGTGACTCACATTGGTATCACCTGAGGGACTCGGTTGATTGTGCACCCCTTGGAGTCTGTTTTTTTGCTCAATTTCTGTGGAGCGAGCTCAGGACAAAAACAAACAAAAAACAAACCCCACAAGCTCCTCTTTTGAGTGATGGTTTCTCCAGGATGTAAAAAACACTGTTTTCGTCTACTGAACTGTCTCGGATAAAATGACCTGGATGACTGAAACCTACATAGAGTTTTAAAACCCCTAACCCAATGTTATGCTTAAACTGTGTGTCAACCTGCTGACTGTCCTTAATTCACCTGTTTGGCTCAGAGGGGTCTGTTTTGACAATTTGGTGGCATCATTTTCTGATATCTTGCTTTATTTTTTCTGTACTTTAGTTTTTCTCTGCGTATACTCTTCATGCTTTGTTAGCCTTAAAAAAATCCATCTTATGTTCAGTTTAAATTATTAAATTCTACTGAAAGGTGTTGTCCGTTAAATGATTAGATCCTTAATCCTCCAACACTTTGGACTCGACATAAAGTTTTTTAAGGTCAGCATCGACTCCTTTCCTGGTGGTGACTAAATAAAATCTGACTCACCTGTATTTGTCACCTTAACAAAACAATATAACAACGTTAATGTCAGCACACAGTTGACGTTGTTGTTTAATTTTTGAGGGCCTTGGGCCTTTTTTTGCTTCCTGTTTGTTTTATTATCTGTTGTTTTATTGGTCTCTGGGAAATTCAGGCTGTTGAGCACAGCTACAGATGGTTCCTCTGGGAAACACCCATGATTCAGGAAATGGCCATACAGGATGTAATAGAACTTATGCAAACAACCAAACAATGGAAATCAAAATGACATGTTTCCCAGATAACAGCACGTTAGAGGTTGTGTCTTTTGCATTTATTAATAATGTGTAATTTTAAAAGAGACGTGTTAATGCAGATAAGACATCACAGTGCATTAGATTAATTAAACTTCTCCCCATAGTTATTAAAACTATGTTGCTTTATTCTTCCCCTACTCTGCCCAGGGGGATGTGTTTTATGAGGTTCAGTGTGAATGTCACAGGATACATTTTTATTGCTCTTCCTAACTAAATGGCATTAAAATCCGATCATCCCTGATGTAAATAAAATTTGCAGCAGAGCAGCTTTTTTTTACACAGCTGTTAAAATATATCCTGTCCTGTCTGTGCTAATCTGTCAGTTTTCATCTTCAGCTTGTTTAAAGAAAGCATTGCTGTGACCGTTGAGGCGAACACACTTGTTTCCAAATACAGGAAATGTGGCTGAAACTGTTATGTCTGTGCACTGTATGCTTTCAGCGAGCTTTTATCCTCGCCGACACACCCACTGCTCATGAGTTACAGAGGAGAGGAGGTGCTGCAGCAGCTGCTGCTGCTGTCTTGTTTGCTAACTCATTATCACCACTCCTTCTATTGACTCCTTCAGGGAAGCAGATTCCCATTAAAAGTGTGTTTAGTAGAAGCCGGAGGAATGATTGAAATTGTGCACATGTTGGAGAAGATGAGGGTGGTGCGTGTGAGTGCAGCCCAGTGTGGTGTGAGCGACGACAATTGTGCAAGGACAGGTTGGTGTGTTCATGTGTCAAAGCCTCCCCTGAAGGGAAGACAAACATTCATGGAATAACAGTTGTTGTACAAGACAGGACTGAATATTGGAGTTGGCTGCAAATTACACAGAGACACTTTATTCTTTTTTTTTTTTTTACACTTTCATTTCTCTTGCAGAGAGCTCCAGTGCTGCTGTTTGTCAGTAGTTCCCCTCTTCCCTCAGTGATCTGTCCGTGTCTCTTTTACCTGGTAAGTACATGCAAATACACACACATGCACACATATTTATAATTCTTACATAAACCAAACAACAGCTTGACTGAACTTTATGATACCATCAGAGTTGTACAGAATTAATTATGTTTTTTATGAAATAATGTATTAAATTGAGATTACACATACATCACATACATCTTATTAATTACAAATGAAACAAGTTGAATTATTCTGTTTTCCGTATGAACTAATGGACCTAACATACACATAGTTACGCAGTCGAATGCAGAAGTAACAAAAACTGTATTTCTATAAGAAGACTTGACTCTAAACTGATCTGGAGTTTGATCTAGTTTTAGATGGATCTCTTTACGGTTAACTAGCCAAAGAGCATGAAAGTTAAGTTAAAATTATCAGTAATGATTAGGTGATGATATAAAGGGTTAGAGAGTAATGTTATGGTGTATCGTTTGCCTGACAAATATTTCCTAAATATTTCTGGACAACCTTTAAGATTATTTTGTGAAAACATGAACTTTTTAAAAAAGAGGACAATCATCTGTTTATTCTCATACAAAAATAGTGATTCCAACATGTGTCTGAGGAATACATGTAGGAAGCAGCAACACAAACCACCTCTAATGCATAATTGCCAGTTATCTGCTATCTCCAATTAGAGGTCTTGTTTACTAAATTCGAGAGACTTTGTGCTGCTTTTGTGGATGTGTATGTGTGTGTGTGCGTGCGTGGCCAGGGCTTGTAATGATGGGAGTAGATGGTCTGTGTTGATAGATGTTTGCTCTCTTGTAAGGCCAGAGGGAATAGGGGCTGGGTGGGCTAGTCATCCTCTAAAAATACACACTGGGATCCCATTCGGAGGCTGCAATGTGAGCGTTTATGTGTGTGGTGTTTGTGGGTCCGTGTGTGTGTGTGCGCGTCTGTGTGACGCCACTGCAGACAGGCGAGCTGGAGGCTATTACTGGCCAGAGGGTTGCTATAGAGACCAGTGGTGTCAGAGAGGAGCAACATCTGTGGACTGTTTGTTTGTGAAGACAGGTTTTCCTCTTTTTGCCTGTGACTTCTCTCTCTTCACGTCACTGTTGTGGTTCAAACATCAAAGCCTGGAAAAGATGAACTTAGATGATATACTCTAGATAAGAGTGTAGTAAACAATCTCCAAGTTCCCAGGAATCGTGGGCTTTCGTGATGTTCTTAAATCCGTTTTTTATGCAATCGTTTATTTTTGCGTCCTAAACTTTGTTGCACAGACGTGCCTGGAGTCTGGTCAGCCAGCTGGGACTCTCTTCACTGGGTTCATGTCAGTGAAAATCCCAGATTGTGGGGAACCATTTAACCTCTGCCCCCTCGTACGACTTCTTCTTTTTGCTGCCTCCCTCTCTATATGGTCATGTTCTATTTCGACAGCTCCTTTCTCTCGGCTGCTCAGTGGGCAGCTCAGCAGGACACAAATGCTCTTTTAATAGGTACTTATTTGGGCAATAATAATAATCCCTGTTTCTCAGTAATCCTACTCCCTCCTCTGTTCCTTCAACGTCCAATTCCTCTTGTCAAATAGTCTCCAGTCGTTTCTTCTCACTCTCTACTAATGCTGGGTTATCCCTACATTTTTCTGCCTCACCTTCAAAATGGACAGATATGTGGAGAGCGGATGGGCAGTTACTGTACATCTCTAAATTAAACCCACAGCCCCTGATGTGACGCTGCACTCCTGCGTGCCTCCGTTTGGACTATTTGAATCCTCACTATGTTCCATCTTCTGCAGTTTTACACACGTTAATTCCCCCATAGATTCTCAAGTGCTTCACATACAGGTCAGTGTTGGTATCTTTGACCATGTTTGGTCAAACATACTCCAGGGCAATCCTCCACTGGCTGTGTGCAGCAAGGCAAACCAAACCTTTAACCTCCTTATCTAATACAAAGGTGAAGGTTATATACAACAGCAGTTCAGAGTCTCTGTAAAAATATTGAAATTAAGTGTTTGTTTTTTTTTTAGGTATGGAACTGTTACTTAACTTTTATGCTAAAATTAACCTTTTTCTTAGTGTAACCCACTTTGGTTACACTAAAGTAAAACCAGTTACTTGTCAAAATTAAATCTGATTTTTTGAAAATATCATGTTTTGTCAATGCACTTGAACATAGTTTACCTACTTTTTAACTGGGAGACCCAACACCAACGACTCAAGCTGCTCCTGTAGTTCATGGTCGAGGTTTTGAACTGTGTCCCAGGTACCCTAACCTGACCCTGATGGTGAGCCACAGTAAGTGTGTTAACCCAAGCCCCCGTTCCCTCATTACACTCAGGGACCCCCTCCCCGCCCCCCCGTCTCACTGCGTACAGACACATGCACAAACATTTCTTTGTGGTTGAGAAGCCCAATGCATTCCTTGCCTTCTTACTATTTAAGTAAAGTCTCAGTATTCTCTCAGCGAGTTACAAAGGATAGTCAGTGGCCCCTTGGGTCAACACACACAGAGCAGACTTTCTCTGATACGCACATATTTATTATGAGGATGTCTGTCCATTAGGGCATGTGTTAAGTTCTTTGTGTAACACAGTTTGGCAGAGGAAGATGTGGGTGACTATATATAGCCCTTACATAACTCTTGGAGTATGTGCATGTGTGTGTCCCAGTATGGCTGTGTGTGTTTTACAAAGTGATTTAGACCTTCATCTGCTGTTGGCATCTAACCTGAGGAGCATCTAACCATGAACGGTTTGGGCACATGATGGAACACGATTGGATGGATCAGGAAGTGAACGTCTGCTCTTTAGTGCAGTGATATTTGTGTTTGGTTCAGTTGGAACTCTTGGTACACCAGAGTTGGGCATTAGTCAGTGTGTGTAAATGAAAGACAGTCAGTTTCCATGCCAGGCTGAAGTCAATTATGTAACCTCAGACCACAATGCATGAGTTAGTGGGTGATCCTCGACTATAAAAGGCATCAAAATAGGGTTAGAAGAAGGGCAGCTGGCTAAAAAAAAAAAAAAAAGTTCTGATAACTGAATTTTTTCCCCACAGAGTTCCCTGGATTTTTTAAAAATCTACTATAAACTATTTGGACTGGTAGTATACTGAAGAGCTGTGTTTTTTTTTTTGTTGTTTTTTTTTTTTTGTCACTGCCTGAGGACTTTTCATGGTAGTGCTTGTTGTCCTATTTTATATTGGCAAAAGAACAAAAACACACCAGTTAGATTACTGATGTCTTCCTGATGTCTTCCTCCCAATGGTTCATAAATAATCAGAAGAGCCTGTCTTGAACCTGAAAAGATTGATACTGTGTTGTGCTTTTTTATATTTTCTTTCAACATTGTCTGGATGTTAAGATGTCAACTTTTTATCACAACTAATTCTCTGAGCAAACAGGCAAAAAATCCCATTAAAATCCACATCCTGTTATTGATGCAAAAAGAAATTAATGGTGCCAAGTAAAACAAAATTGAAGCAGCGCTAACTGAAATTCAGTGTACTGCTCGTTTGCCTGTTTTACTCCTTAATTTACTCCTAATTCATTTATGCTGTCATTATTTCATCATCCTACACTGGTTTCATGTTTTTACTCAGAGCCTATAAGTTGTTTTTTGCTTGAACATAAATAGGTGAACATGTGCAGACAACAATATAATAATCACAGAACCCACGTTCAAATCCCAGCTTGGGTGACGGGTGCCTTGAGCAAGCACAAGTTCTTCTTCTGTTCTTCTTTTGTCTACGTTAACAAAAGCCGTTTGCCGTCACTTTCACCTCAGAACAGTTTTCATCCATGACAGGGTTTTAAAGGTAAACCGGATGAAACTGAAGCAGTAGTTATGCAGTAGCTTAACCTGATGTTTGCTTAGGGAACAACGATACTCAGGTTGTTATATCTCTATACATGTCTCACTCCATGTTAATTAAAGGCGCTTTAATCCAGTGTGAACAACATTTCCAAAGCACTCTCTGTCTCACGGCATGGAGTACTGTGTGACTGATGTGTGCAGCAAACAATGGGCCGACATTAAACCCTTTCTGCTAATTGGATTCTGTTGGATGTGGCTGCTTAATCTAATTTGTGGTAATGCAATTGAACAGCCCTGCTAGCAGCAGGAAACCAATGTTTGACTATCATCTAAGAATGAACACAAGCCCATAGTTACAACTTATTGGAATTCCACTCACCTGTGGATGTGTGATATTGCATGTGTTCAGCATGGCCTTCAGAGGAGTATCTAAAAAATCACCAGACCATGAAACCCAGTTTATTTTTTTAGTGGAAACAGTCACAGGTCTGACTTGTGTTTACAGTGTATTTTGCATTAACCTGCATTTATTTTATTTTATTTATTACATGTTTTTAAATCTCAGGATGGTGTTCTGTATATTTCAAGAGGGCCAGGATGAATGAAAAGAGGTGGGAGTGGTGCAGACTAAAAGTACTCCGGGGGATGTTTTATTATGTTAAGTGGAGGCACAGTAAGCATCAGACAGCACTGTTGATAATGATTGTCTAAAATGGAGAGATGAGATCGCCTCCATGAAACAGTGCTGTTTGACAAATTTCATCCATTTTTTATTAAAAAAGGATTAAAAAAAAGAAACTTTGCTCACTATGGAGTTTGCGAGACCAGAGTAGAAAATACAAAACAGTATCTATCATTTCATTGTCACTGCAATCCCAGTACTTGTGACAGAGAACTTTTGAAAAGAAGCAGAACAGAGCAGCCCAGACACTGGCAGTTTGAAGGCTGTTGAATATCATTTTATGTGAATAATAACTTGGTCAAAGAGATTCAGCAATAACTGCTTATTTTATTAAATAGTAATTCCCAGAGAACTATTCTTGCTGCAGTGGTTGAGGTTTTTCTTCCGTTTTAATAGACATTACTGATGAAAAACCTTCGGCCCTGATAGTATTTACATATATTTACTGGATTAATCTATACTCTTAGAGAGGCACATCACCAGTTAGAGGGGATTTTAGTAGCAAACCTCTCAGTATTTGTCATTCAGTGACCTCTGACAAGGGGTGTCACGAAACTGATAAGCTCTGTGGGTTTTTTTTTTTTCTGTTGTAACCGTGTTGTCATGTTTTTCATACTCTACTGCAAATGTGTTTTGCTAATAATTAAAAAAACCTCTCTCATCGCCTCAAGACAAGGTAAATATTCATGTAGATTAGAATCCTTCAGTTTGACATGTGACTGTATGTACATTCAGTTCAGAAAGATGGAATACTGCTGCCTGAAATAAGGATTATGATCCCATCAAGTCAGACTTTAGCCTCACAGCTTGTTTGACTTGGGTGTGGAAGGATTGTTAACAAGCAGTTTCGTTTAGAGCTTGTACAAAGTAAGTACACAAAACTCTGTGTGTACACAAGGCTAAGTCTTCTGACACTCCCCTTTGTACTTAGAATTCTAGGGAGGTGCATACAGCCAGGCTGGGTGCACGTGCTGTTAATCATTGTCATCATCATCATCAGCTCTGAGCAGTAATGTTGTACGTTACTGTAACATTAGTACTTGACCCACTGAAAGTACTTGCCACAACCTTCTGTCCTAAAGAGACTCTTATCAGATGATTTGTGGGTCAACAGGTCAACTGACATGCAGTAATGTGCTGTAAGTGCATCGTAGAGTGTTTAGTATAAAAACTAAGTGGAACAGCATGAGTAAGAGCCCCGAGTGGAAATTCTGTCCTTTTTTGGAATTGACTTGAATCACAGGTCTTCAAAGGTATTTCAGCATCTGCATTGATGACAGTATATTTTTGCTGTTTTGTTAAGAAAAAACATCCACTCACTAGTGTCCACACAAGTGTGTCCCCACTCAACCCTACCACCACTGACTGACTGATGTAACCGTAGCCTAATTTAGTTTATGAGTTGTGGGACCGCTGGGTGCTACCCTAGCTGCCATTTTAGATGAGGAGGCTGGGAACAGTCCGCCTCGTGAGGCTCCCTTCTATCATAATTATCTCATTGTCAGGGGTTGGACGCGGTGCTCGGACTTCCATCCTCGTTGCTGCTTTGCTCTCCTCGTCACATGTACGAACACTCGACCTGGAGCTCAGAGGACAAGCGTGTGCCCTGGACGTGGCTTAGCATAACCTCAGTGTGGAGTGTTACTATTGAACGGCCTTCATTTCCACTGGAAGAAATGTTATCTAATACATATTGTTGAGCGTGGAGAGATCTGGGCTAACGTCAGATGGAATGGCACAACCTAGTTAGTACAGTTTAAATGAGTGACCAGTACTAGCAGGACATTTATAAACTAATATAATCTAATAATCTAGTAAGATTGCGAATTGTTTTCATGTCCTAATCACCACACATGCAAGTGTGCATGTGTGTTTTCATTTTCCTAACAGGAAGTGTGCCTGTGATGGTCCCCTGGTGTGGTACCGCAGATGGTGAACAGGCTGATTTTGATGAAGTTGGCCCTTTTTTCCACTTCCTGCTAAACAATCAAGCATGGCTGCTTCATTTCCTCTGTATAAAAAATGCACTTTTACATTGGCGCCAACAATGTTTTTTAACTCAACAACAAATGCGTCAAGTAATTGTACATTTTAAAAATGTGTGTTTGGTCCAATCAATTGTAATTCTCTTTTATAATAAGACTGCAGGCCAGCGTGAGATTAGCTTTATTAGATACTGGCTCATTTTGTGGCCTTTGTGAAATACTGTGTAACTAACTGTGTAACTGCCAACATTTCTAAACTTTTTCCTTCAGTCTGTGTTTGTCATATCGGGGGCTGTTTTCTAAAGCCTTTGTTGATGTTGTCTCTGATCTGTGTTCCCTACGTCAAAAGCAGACATCGTCCCCGCTGTACTCTCCCCTCAACTCTTCAGTCTGCCACTGTCACACACAGCTGCGTTAGTCGTCCCCTCGGTCTGCCCAGCACACTTCTGTTTTCTCCACTCTTCAGCCAATGGCTTTCAAAGTCTAATCAGCTCTTATCTATCTATCTATCTATCTATCTATCTATCTATCTATCTATCTATCTATCTATCTATCTATCTATCTATCTATCTATCTATTTATCCATCCATCCATCCATCCATCCATCCATCCATCCATCCATCTATCTATCCATCCATCTATCTCTTTCTCTCTCTATTTATCCATCCATCCATTTATACGTACATACATTTGATGGTCACCTCATCTCTTACATACCAATGTGTTCTGTTTATCATAATCGTTGAATTAATCAACAGTCTCATACATTGGAAACACAGTTATAGTCATGTGTATCAACGTCATAGTTTGTCTGAACTTGCAGCTTTTGCTACACAACAAACACAAATAGAATTACTTTTGCAGTACTGGCACTCATTACTACTTAAAACCGCAAGCTATCGCAAAAACAAATAAGCAGATTTTTAACATTACATCACTTTAGATGTTAGAGTGTATTAACTGATTTATTTATCCATCCATAAAAGCAAAGCATCACTCTATTCTGTCTTTTATTTATTTAGCCTACTTTCCCAAAAATGGCCAGTAGAGTGCAGTTAGGTGACACTCTTAACACCTGTAAATATATAGTATCTATTTCGATTTATTCATTTAATGAATATATCTTTAGATTTTTCCCATGTAGGCTTTTTATTGCAAAATTGTCAAAGCAGACTGAAAAAGTTGTTCAGTGAAAGACCCTGGTAAAGTTTGGACTTTCGTAGGATATGCTAACCCCATATTTACTACATGTACCAAGTGTTGGATTCAAACTGTGTGAATGTTCAACAGTCGAACTGATGTTGTGTTTCAAGGTTGGTTTCTGCTGTCAACAACCCTTGTACTTCGAAAAATGTTTTTCAGTAAAAATCTCTGCCATTCTCTCTTCACTTTCTCTCTTCTGTTTCCCGCAGGTTTGTGAGCAGCCATGACAAAATCGTACGAGTTCAACTGGCAGAAGCATCTGCCTGAGTTCATGCAGGAAGGTGCTTCATTTGACAGGTTTGATGAGGTAATGGTCACCTTGCACAGAGTCTTATTGTTTGTTTGATAGCCCTGATGTATGTGTACGCTTGGCCTGTGATTTAAATGTGTTTGTCAATAACATTGGTGTTAGTGGCACAGGCTGTATAACCTGTATAACATGTCATCAGGGCTCTAGCTCCAGGCTGGTCACATTCATCAGCCTTATTTTTCGCTTCTCTGAGGCGACCACTTGTCTGCTGTGTCCATCTCACAGTCCGTCTGACTGTCGGTGTGTGGTGCATTTTCTCCCGTCTATTTCTTGAGTGATTCTCACTGGACTCACTCGATTGGCCCTCTCATGTTCTTATGGGCATCACTTTCAGTGGAAGTATCCCTTTCATGCAGTTAGACGAGTTGAAATGGAGGAGGAAGAAGCATCATTAAGTGCACGGCCGCATCGACGTGAGCAGTAAAACTGGGCCAACATGTTTCTGCAGGAAGTCCTTGGTGTGTTTCTGCTGTGAATGTGAGCCAGGCTTGGAACGAACACAATCAGGACTGGCCTAGTCTTTGGCTCATTGGGTTACAACCGCTTTCTTTCTAAATCTGTTAGTATTTTATAAAAAAAACCTTCCTCCAAGAACGATTCCTTTCAACATCAAATGACCCATTTGAACAGATAGTATTACATTCAGTAAACGTTAAACTTCTCACTAGTGTTTAATTTTCTTTAATTTATTGATTACCATCCCACATGTATATGTTTCAAAGCGAACCGCACAGGTGATTTGCAGGGATGTGTTGAAATGTCGACCACAGAATGCTTCCTAATATGGAAAATGGTTGGAGCCTTGAACATGTTTTGTCTTTGAGTGAAAAGGTAATGCAGACATTAGCTTTATTAGGTGGAATCAAAAACCAGGGTGGAGCACGTGTGTTGATTACAAAAGCATGAGTCCAACCACCTGTGGATATTAGACATGTGAACATGCATATACACAGACAGAACAGCAGGATTTTTATCAGCACAAAACCTTCTGCTCTGATTGAATCCCTATCGAGTGACATATGGTGAAGACAGGTTTGTGTGTGTTGGAGGGTGCTCTGCTCTGCTCAAAAATATATATATAGACCAAAACTACAGTAAAGACAAGTCAAAACAACCACACTGTTCATATATATTAAATCATATATATATATATATATATATATTTATATATATATATATATAATCATATATTATATTTGGTCAATAAAGTTGAAAAAGTAAACAGGAAATAGTTAGACAGGTCCATTAAGTGTAGAGATGACTCATCGATGACCGTTTCAAGAGGGCAGCAAATTCATGGAAATATATATATATATATATATATATAATCATATATTAAATTTGGTCAATAAAGTTGAAAAAAAAAAAGTATTTCTCCATCTCTAAAAACATTTTCAGATTTTCCAGCTAACCATTTGTTTGGACCTGGAAAGACTGAGTGTTCTAATAAACCTCTTAACTAGTAAGGCCACATTTGGGACTGTCTCTTTCTTACGGTCGACTTCACTTTGTGCCGCTAATGTCTCCTAGGTGAGATGAAAGCGAGTAAAACCTTTAAGTGCACTTCGTAGCAGTGCTGTTGGGTATTAAATGGAACTAGTTCTTTTTTCCTTTAGTTTTTATGGTGGGTTTTGAGGGCAGAGTGAATCAGAGAGAAGAACTCTCCGTAAAAAGGCAGCAGACAACAACACCCTAGAATAACACGTGTATATGTGCAGACGTGAATGTGTTACACATCCTCCATTACTATTATTAGGGTTAAGAGTGACCTGTCTGCTTTTATTCCTAGTTCTCTCCTGTATTCTTATTTAAAATAAAACAGAAAAAATAGGGCTGTCAAAAATAACAGAATAATTGTGTTATTTCTTCTTCTGATTATTATTATTTTTATATTATTATTTTGTTTTTTGTTATATTATTACTGTTGTTTTATAACAATTAATCGTGATTAATAACCATAATAATTGATTAGTTTGATGTACTTTCATTTAGTCTATAACATTTCCTAAACACTAAACAGTCCTAAAAACACATGTTGATCTACCATGTGAGTCAGCCTAATTAGATTTGCTTTCCCACACGCCTCTGTTTGGCTGCACAGTGTTGGCCAGATGACAGTTCAAAAGATACTGTGTCCGTGTGCAGGACCACGGACGTCGGTGTGCCAGACCTCTTGTGTACGCTTCACAGATGAATGTAACACAGTGTGAAAGACGGGCCCGTACGTGGCTGCCCTGTCACAAATGCACAGCGTCACGTTTCATGTTTGCATCATCATAGCAACAGAGCGCAGAGCTGACAAATTTATCTCACCTCGTGTTTGCTTTAGCAGCAGGTTTCCTTTCCTGTGCACGCAACACGTATGTGTACATACTAACTGTGTTTGTGGACGTTTGAGAGGTTCTGTCAGCAGACAGGTACACCCTGGAAATGGATTAGTCCAATGTGTTTTGGTCTGGTTGCGTAAGGCCTCTGTGTGTGTGTGTGTGTGTGTGTGTGTGTGAGTGTGTGTGAGACAGACAGACTCGCTGTTTAATGTTGTAAAATGTCAAATAAGTCCTTTTAAGTTGTGAAGTTTTTGTCTTAACAGAATTTTGTTTTTCTCTCTGCAGGACCCGTACATGTTTGAGCCTAACTGTCAGATGAAGGTGGATGAGTATGGCTTTTTCATGAGCTGGAAAAGTGAGGGAAAGGTACTAGCTCGGCGTTGTCACATTCGACTTTCTTTCACGGCATACTTTTGATTGTGTTCCTTTCACTTTCTTTCGTTTGCCTTGTTTTTTGTTTTGCACTTCATTCTGACCCAAGCGTAACTCAGTCTCCTGATGTCTTTATGTCCTAGATGATGATGTCACCACTGTGTTATTGTAAGTGAGTGACAAAGGTACTTATGGACTGTATATTAAATGCCCAATAGGTGAACATTCCCAATTGCGCTTTACGTTTTTTTAAATTTTTGTCCAATCATTAATTTTTCAACTCCACCAATAATCACAGGGAGTTCTGTGAAAACAGCTATAATGCCCTGGCCTAGTATTTAAATCTGCTGATATCACATAAATCCTGACTATTTTTATTACCCCTGTCATGTTTTCCCTTTATCCTTCTCTCCTGCAGGAAGGCCAAGTCCTCGAGTGTTCGCTCATTAACAGTATCCGTGTTGGTGCCGTCCCAAAGGTGAGGCCTCAGGAAGTCATATTTCTCGCACGTGTCTTTAAAACATTCAGACATCAGTTCAGACTAAAACACATTCCTTTTCTGTACTTGGCCAGTGCTTCAACAGTGCGTTCTATCGATCGATCGTTGGTTCTCTTTGCCAGGTTTCCTTCTCAAGTGTCAGATCCACCAAGAACAGAAACATGAAATATTCAAGCCATCAATATTTATTCAACCCTGTCTGTGTTTGGCTGCTGGTTGTCTATAAAACCAGCCTTTGGCATGTGCTTTTGACCCAGAGAGGAATAATAAGAACCTCTGCTCCCAGCCTTATTATAATGGGCTGTCAGCTGCAGAGCTGAGGGGTTCACGCTGAGGTATCAAAAGCTGGTAGTTACAAGACATGCTGTCTCTGTCAGAGCTACTTTTTCCTCTGTGCAAGAAAAGTGATTCTCAAAAAAGGCACTGTGACATCATCCCACGCTTCTCTGCTCTCAGACTGCAGCTCCTACTCAGCTGATACACGGACAGAAGTGTTTACCTGCTCGTTTTCTTTATATATAAGATATTAATTTGTGCATTTTTACTCGACGTGACACTAATATAGGTTTTGGCATAGTGCAGTCCAAATAAACTATAAGAACAGTAACAGGGATACCCAGGGGCCTGCCTGCAGTAAGTCTCATTAATATAATGTGTAAAGCTGCAGGCAGTCACAGACCTGAGATCAGATTCAGTGGTCTGTTGAGGCAGGTGTGGAGCCGTGCTGATCTTCTGTTCAAACAGTGTTTGATCTTAACCAAAAAAAAAAAAACAGGTCGACACGGTTACACAACCTTTAGACATGTTTGATGTAATCTATTTGGTATGAAAATGGAATGACTTCAGGTGATTAGTTAATGGAGTTTAAAATCAAACTGAGCGATGTTTTTGGTGTGCTGTAATCTGCTCAAAGGGTTGAGAAAGATGAGTCATGTTATCTGCTTTAGGATAATTCTCTTTTTTATTCTATTATATATCTATTATATATAAAATATTTTTTTTAGTAAACTAGACTAAGTTTTGACCTTTTTAGGGTGAATATTGGCTATTAGGATGACATTACCAACATTACTGACTGTTTTCTGAAAATTACTTGTTCATCGCGTATGTAAAATTGGCAAATAATTATATATTTTTTAGATATACAGCTTTTTAAGTCGAGTCATCGAGGTTATACAGCCTGTGTGTATTTTTAAAGCTTAATGCTTTTGTAAAAAAAAAAAATAAAAGCAGCTAGAGGAACCATTTTTCTACTGGGAGGGTTCAATTTTAGAATTCCATCAGCATTTATTATTTTATTTTTGCATATTATTTTAGTCATACATTTGCATGTTATTTTAACATGCAAATGTATGACTAAAATAATATGAGTGTTCCTCACCACTTAACGCTGTAGAGCTCATTTACAGTCATCTCCGCCAACCTTATCTCACCTGCAGTGGATAATTGCCGTCTGAAGTTGAACCGTTGAATATTTCTACATCTGTATTCCCTCTCCCCTCATGTGTGGAGGTTTTTGGCAGCGTAGGTTTCATTTGAATGTCGTGTTTGAAGTTGTTGTCTGAGTCCGATGCAACTTTTTCATTTATTCTGCAACATGACGCTAAGGATTTCTACAATCTCTTCTCCGATTGTGTTTTTTCGTTTCACTTCAAAGTTACCACACTTCCGTCAGTGATACTTTGGCTCTTTTTTTTTTCTTTTTCTTTTTCCAGGATCCAAAGATCTTGTCATCATTCGAGGCCGTTGGAAAGACGGAGGCAGACTTGGAAGGTTGTGTCATCTGCATCTGCAGCGGCACTGACCTGGTCAACTTAAACTTCATGTTTATGGTGGCAGAGAATCCTGACACGGCCAGGGTAAATGAATCTGTTAACTCCAAGTATTGTAGTACCATTTACTGTAATACAATTCTCACATTCATATTCAATAGTTGCTTAACTGTCCAATCCATTCATCTTTTCCACAATATGTAATTTTCAGCTTGAAAAGAATTTATGTCAGAAAAACCACTCACTGTCTGGTTGATGTGATAACTCTTACTCAAAACACAAGTGACCTTGGTTTATCCAGATAAAAAAATGTCTTTCACTTCCAAAATCCATCCTTCCGTCTCACCTCATTTCACTCCCTTTGGTCTCTCTTGCTATTCTGGTATTCTGATCCCCTCCCTCCCCCCTTCTCGCTCTTAAGTCGTTACTTTCTCTCCCCCGTTGTCTACGCCCTCATCCTGTGTGAGAAATCTAACTGGCTGATTTAGTGAAGATAAAAACTTTCTCTTTATCACTTTCTCGTTCCTGTCTATCTCACCCGATCACTTTCCTTCACAGACGGGCCGATGACAACCCGTCCCCTCCTCCTCCCTCTGTCTTGCTGCCTCTGTCTGTCACTTGCTCACTCACTCACCCCAGTCATTATTTCCAAACATCATTATTGCTGTTGTCAAACGCTCAGACACTGTACATTCTGTGCAGCCCATAAATACCAACCGAATCTCTAAATGAAGTCTGTTTTTCAGGAATTTGTCGAGTGACACTGCAATGATGAACAGGACAAATTAGTGCCATCAGTGACACAATGAAAATGTTTCTTCTGCGCTGTCATTAGGGCTGCTGTTGTTACGTATATATTTTGCAAATCTATTTCTAAATCTTTTTTTCTGGTTTAGAAAAAAATACATTAAGTAAAGGTCAGAACTGTAATCAATTTTGGATTTTGTTCTGAGTTCCCTCCCTCTGCGTGGCTCTGCCTCTCTGAGCCCATTTGTCATTTAATGAAGGCCTTTATATTTTAATATAAGTCAGTGATTTATAGCTGTACTTGGCTTTTCATAATGCAGCTCGGCACCATAGTTTGTATAAGACCTGTGTAGGTGCGCTATTTATAGCTGCAGATTAACTTCCATTTAATATACCAGGTGTTTTTGCCCGTTGTTTGGTGGAGGAGGGACCGAATATGAGCTACGGTGTTTAGCTGAGCTGTAGCTGCAGTGTGTCACCTTATGCAACAGTGAGGCTTTCAGTAGAGCACATTTAAATGACCTTGAGTTGAAGTCAAATATATTTGGGTTGATAATGGCTGATTCTACACACTAAAGTATGTTGTCATTTGCCAACACTATATAAAACCCAACTTGGTTTATTACAGGTGCTGTGTAAAATGTCCTGCTGATTTAAAGCCAGGTTCCAAATGCCTGTTTGGTACTAGTACTCCTGTACTGTCTATCACCACAGAGTTGATGTCGATGGTTCCTCGTGAACAAGGTGTTTTTGTGATGATAGGTGCGACAAATGATGTTTGCGGTCCTGAGAGCTCAGCGCCTCAGAGCTGCCAATGATATCCATTCAACATTCTTCAGCACCAAGGCACACACAAACCGTGACACACAAACAGGACACAACACACACATGTTCAAATGCACACCCTCACTCTCCCCCTACAGTTTCAAACACATTAACTCCTGTTATATATATTATTATATTTTCTCCCACTCTGTCACACTCTCCCTTTTTCTCTTCAAACACACTCAGTCCAAACACCATCAGTACGACGCAGCACGCACGTGGCCCTGAGACCTTGGCAGCTGACAGTTATTTACCTCAGCGTAAGCACACATACACCAGTGAGCTGGCAGCTCCGTGGACACCACATGGACAAACAGTCTCCTCCCGCCCTCTGTTATCTTGTGCTTTTATAGTGATAACGTGGCCAAAATGAAGCAGAAACTGAAAAGCCAGAGGGGACGATGACTGAATGCCTTCCCAGGTGTCCTGACAAACAGAACACATTGTGCACAAATTTAGAGGCAATTCATTTGCCTGTGTTTATTTCCTCACGGACACTGGGTTCTAAACACACTTCAGGATACTCTCGTGGTATCTGTCTGTGTGTGGTCAGTGTGGTAGTGTGTTATTCTTATGAGTACTCTCCTCTGCGTGTGCTTTTCAGAAGTGGACCGAGGGTTTAAGGTCCGTGATTCACAATGTCAAGGCCAACAACGTTTGTCCAATGACCTGCCTCAAGAAACAGTGAGTTTATTTGGCTGCAAAGCCTGTGAATACTTATCATGATCGCAGTTCTTCTACATAAATTGGTAAATGTATTATGCAAAAAGCCAGAAGTATGCAGACAGAGACAGAAACATCTACAGTATCAGTGTTTTGACGATTTAGCTAAATTTGTCAATTTGTCAAGGCCGAACTAAGCTTGGACAGGTTTACCCCTCAAGGTGCTAATTTTTGCAGTTTTTTTACCTTGCACCTTTTTGACCTTGAGGCCCAATTTTGATTGTACGAAATGGCCCAGGTGCCATTAAATATTACATTTGATTATTTTTTCTACAGCTAGCCTAGAAAAGAAGACTGCCATAAAAAAACAACTGCCTGAATGATTTTTGCGGCCTAAAGGCGGCGCTGCTGGCCCAATTTTGAGCTGGTCTGGATTCACACGTTAAGATGTTGGATTAATTATTTTCCTTTTCGTCCATAGTTGGATGAGGTTGTGCTTTGTAACCAACACAAATGGGAAGATTCCTGTGAGAGGGTGAGGAAAAAACCAGCATTTTCTTCCTCCACATTATCTGAGTCAGTGAATAATCTCCAGGAGTTCTCATCCCAAACCTTTCTCTTTCTGTATTTTGCAGCATCACGCGAACATTTGCATCAGGGAAGACAGAGAAAGGCATTTTTCAAGCTTTGAAAGACCTGGGCCTTCCTAGTGGAAAGGTGAGATAACACTCACACCGTGGAAATCAATTATGATGGCTAACATTTGTTAAAGTGACCTTTTTTTGTACTGTGACTGACTGGTTGTTTTGAAATCCTCAGAACGATGAAATTGAACAATCAGATTTCACCTTTGACATTTTCTACCTGCTGACACAGAAGATCTGTCCCCGCACGGATATTGAGGAGCTCTTTAAGAAAATGTGAGTGTTTCATTATTATACATATATACATATATATATATATAAATCTCCTGCGGCACTGTCTTACTACAGTATTACCACGATAAATAATACTCTGACTGTGAGATGCTGCATCTTGTTGGAATTAATCAGGACAACTGTTTCCTGTGCCTGCTCCACTAACTACGTCTGGACAGCCTAACCTGCTTACACAGTTTAACATTGATATTGTTCACCCCGATAACAAC